AAAAAAATCTTAAGTTGGGAGAGGTAGGGATGAGTTGGTTCTTCGCTGCAGGTAGGTATAGCAATCGATGCAGAAGACGAACAGTTAGCGCGCGAAATTTGCGGGTAGGTGTCTGGTCATAATTTTTGTAGTAATTTGAGGGATTATGGTTCTTTGAGCAATAAATTTGACTGTTTTTGGCTTTTAGTGTTATTTGCTTGCTACAGACGGCCAAATGCAAATTTTTGGGAGCTGGTATTGATTCCTCTCGTTTGTTTTTTAAGCAGTTTACCAGACTGTCTAGCGCATCTCAAACTGCTGCTTCTTGGGACGCTAGAAAAAGCAAAAATTTTTTTTACTCGAGATTGTATAGTGTAAAACGTATAATAATCGACAGGATTTTCTGGTGGTTATCTATTACCATACTGTCACATTTGGACAGATGCCTAGAAGTCGTCTTGAGGAGATTATTTTATAAGCATTATTTCATTTAGGACTTAAAAGACATGATGCGTACAGCTGGAGAAGTTACGTACGCTGATGCACACAAGGAGCATCCAAATGAAGGGTTAGCTTTCTGTTCATATTTCAAAATTTGCTCGTTGGCTTCATTTTGGGGATGTAAATTACTTTCAAAGTGTACTTTTGGAAATTGTTTTTTATTTAAGGCTTGCACCATTTCAGCATTGTTTGTTTTGCAAGTCGAGAAGATTTGAAGAGAGCGATGGATAAGTTACAAGGGAAAGAAGTAAATGGTCGGAAGTTGAAGCTTATTGATGACTCTGAGAGAAGTGGCAGCAGAAGGTGAATACAGGTTTTTATCTACTTTTACACTGCAGCTTATAACTAACTTCTGTCTAAGGGATGGTAACTCGTGGAAGTTTCATGGCCCTCTAGGCTGTATTAAATATTTTAGTCGGTCCAGATCTAACCGCCGTTCGAGATCACGATCCCGTTCCCGATCTTCATTGTCCCGATCTCGCTCCACACGTTCACGTAGCAAGTCAGATTCGCGTAGTAGATCGCGATCTCGCAGCAAATCTCGTTCGGCTAGTAAAGCACGTTCAGAAGCATCAGAGAAGGAAAGATCCAAGTCGAGGTCGCAAAGCCGGACTCATTCGTCTCCATCGCCATCTCCATCCAGATCTCAATCTCCATCAAAGTCGAAATCAAAATCAAAGTCACAGTCAAAGTCCCCAGAGAAAGCAGTGAAAAATATTGAGGCTATGGAGACAGAAGAAGATGTAAAGGAAAATGGGACAAATCGATCTCCAACACCAGAATAGATGTTGGAATCCTTTCTCCCTTCCTTTTTTTTTTGATCATATTCATACGTTGATGTTATCCTTTTATGCAGTTACTGTGCTGTTTCGTGCATGTTCTTTCTCAAATGGAATTTTGTTATATTAGGTGTTGAGGTCTGGCATGTCATTAATGCTGACTAATGCGGGCCTAAGATGGGTATTCTTTCGTTCAGGGGGAAATGGTCACTTTGCTTTGGGATTTTTAGAAAGTCACTTAAGCTGGGAATAAGAGCGATATTACGTTAGTGGGTGTTTGCTCGTTATAGTTGACAGTATAGTTTTCTAGCGTGGCGTTGGTGTTTCTTTTTTATTGTTTTGTTTTGCTCTGGAATGGCACTTGAACTTGTTTATGAAGATTCTGATTATCACGGTAAATCTATATATGCGTCGCCTTTCATCCTGCAACCGTAAAGTATTTGGTCGGGCTGTTCTGCTGAAAACTGTGAGTGCTGTCGCTTTATCTTCGACGGGATTCGGGTCGCCAGTCAAACCTCTGCTTGGAAAGTGGTTGGCGGGGACTGTCGATGCATTGCAGTAAGAGGTGGTTTCTTTCAGTGTGCAAGACGTTTCAATTTTTATTTAGCATAACAGCAGTATGCGTGGTGAATCAGTCATCTATAGTGAACTGAAGCTTTGTTGTCGCCCAGGCTGTCACTGGAAGGGCTGGGACGTATAGGCTCACTTCGTAGAAAACAGCGCGGCCTTTGCCGTCGATCATTACAATCGAGTGCGACCTAAAAAATTTCTATTGCGATTTGCACTTTCATGTAATAGGTCGCAAACATTAGTTACATTCAATTAGCCACGCGTAAACGTTGGACTTTGAGAGGAAATGATTAGATCAGGTCCATTTACCATAAACAAGTCCACAGAGCATACGGCTTTAATACTAGAGAAGCTAAACATTTACCTTGTGCCGTATCGGTAACTGCCTGGGAGAGAATAAAACAACTGCGACATCGCTTTACTGCACTCCTCCTGCTGTTCTGTCTGACTAAGTAACTGATTATCTGGATGGTGACTGAAGTGATACATATTCGTATGGGACAATAAGGATTAAAAGATGTCGTATACCTCTTCAAATCAAACTCTTTGTTTACCATATGTCGTTCCTGAGGATGTTCACTAATTCCAGTAGCAGCTGATCTTCATTCTTCCCAGCCATGCGTTCGACACATTCTTTGAAGAGTTCTGTTCCGTGTTCAACTTTTCTAAATGGATGTGATCTCGGACTGTTGCCAAATCCATAAACCCCTTAATAGTCCTGTTTACATGACCTACTACTTGTTACTTCTGGGTAAAAATTGTTATTTAGGATGGAACCCCTTCACCTGAATCAAGGATTTCTATTTCAGGAGTTCCTTGCGAACTGCATAAAAAAACAAGCTGGTATTTCTTATGCCCATTTGATTGCCGAACCCTAAATCGCAACTTCGCGTATTGAGCAGCAAAGAGTTAAAATTTCTGTCCAGAAAAGTAGCCGCTGTGTATACCTATCAAGAAGAACTAAGTTGAAACAATTGAACTTATTTGCAGACTGTGCGAGTTTTTCTGTATATTGTGCAGCAGAATCCTTCGATTTGAAATATCCGTTTAGTATTCTGCCTATAAACAAGTGTTTTTTCTATTCAGGCCGCTTGTCGTTACTTTAGCATACTTCGTGTTCTACCACCTTAAGACTAGAATTCAATAATTTATTATGTTCCGTAAATTTACTGTACCTCGAGTAGGGGCATTGGGCTTTAATGTTGACTGTTTTTGAAGCATAGATAAAAGAACACCGACTTTACCTCCCTTCGTTACACCTAGCCAGGTTCCTCCTCTTTCATTAGGGATTCCTTCGTCTCTTCCTGAATAAATAACAGAATTCACGCTTAATTTCCGTCAAGATTGCCGCACAAAAGTTTGATAGCAGATGCACAGATGGAAAGCGCAACAAAATCGGAATAATCTTATTGCAGTTGCAATCTATATGTTCAATTCATAGACTTTAATTAACTTTTATTAAAGAATATGATAAAACTTTTGTCTGTTTCAAGTTCTCTCTACTCTGCAAGTGTTCAATCTTCAGGCATCAGGCACTTCATAGAAGAGCCAAATGGAAGAAAAGCACCTAAATTGGGGAGGAAAAAAAATTATTTGTTTTTGAAACAACTTACCAGCCAATATCCCGTCTTCCCAAGCTGCATAGGATGTTGGTCTATCATAACTTTCGTCACGATTATTAATTACGATTAACTGGTAATCTTTTTCGTCAACAGCATCCGCATTAAGATATACGAATGTAACACACATGAGCAACCACTTAGCAAGTAAGAGAGAAAAGTGGGAAAAAAAAAATCTGGAAAGAATTCAAGGGTAGGCAACTTTGAAATAATAAATGACGAGCCGAGGCGAATATATTCTTGAAACAGAAGGATCAAACTCTGCGCGTATCCTGTCGACTAACTTACTGTTTCACTTTATTTCTGAGCCTGACATAAAGCCTCAAGCCAATTTCATTGGAGGGGAAATAACAAATAAATGTAACATCGTGGGTAGCAGCCGCCAAGTCTTGAAACGAGACGGATAAAAACCATGTGTACTATAGTTCTAACTGTTATTGTACCAAACGTAGCGGAGTCTGCCGCCATTGCGGTGGCACTTTGCCAAAAGAGGACCTTTTCACTTTTTCTTGGTTCATAGGTTACTTTAAGCAACAGTTATAACCCGGCTTTTTCCCTGCTCCTCCTTGGCGTCTTAGAAAACTCACGTGGCTTAACTCTTCTTTTTGATGGTCTGCATTTAGTGTTGGAATAAGCTGGTCTAAAATTGTACATTGTTTTTAATTTGTTCTTGATATTTCTTTGAACTGTTGAAGCCGAAAGGACATGGTTAACGAACTGGTGCAGGTATTTTTTGTGGTGGAAATCGTTCTGTCATTATCGGACGGCATGGTGAGCTCTACTGATCTCGATAATTCGTCGAGGAGTGGTTGTTGTTGACAGTTCGCGAGCCTACTTTTATATTTTCCTATTTTTTTTCGTCTTTACTTTTAATGATTGATTTTATCCATCCACGTTGTACGAGTTTGACATTGAATAAATGATGTGGGAAGTCGTGGTTTCTCTTTTTTAGATTTTAATGATAAGGGTCCTTCTCTCTCTGCCTGAACTGCTCGTTAGAT